CATATTCAGAAATAGCACAAAATTCTGGTTTTAATCCATAGTTTTCGACTCGTCTGAAATATTTTCAAGTGGGTCAGATATAAACAAACATTTTGTGCGAAAACTTTCGATCCACCCGTTATATTTGCATAAAAGAAGTAAAATGCTAATATCGAGAAAGTAAAGTGAGCAACAAAAGCTTAAGACGTTGTTACAGTGATGTTCAACATGTAAATATTCGCAATTGGGATACAATTTTCTATTTATTTGCCATTTTTGCATCTAGTCTTCTTGTCTTTCTGTTATCTAACTATCAATATATATATATATATATATACGTATAAACGTTTATTTCATTTTGTTTATTCATTCCTACTAAAATAAAGATTGTGTGCAAGTACATTCAGACTCATGCATATATAATTACATATATATCAAAGTAAAGTATAGAGAGAGAGAAAATGGAGAAGAACCGTAACAGACACTTTCAGCATCTTATAGATTTTATCGGTATATTAAAGAAGGAATGTTTTTGAGAATTTACCCTGAGATTCTAAAAACGATAGGTTTACATTTTAATATAAAAACTGGATTTTGGAGTAGCTGCTTAATTCGAGTTCGAATATAAATAAAGATTTCAAAAGTGACCTCATTATATAATTTGTCTTGGTAAAAGATTTAATTTGAATTACCCATATTTTTTAATTCATATATATATATATATATGTGAATTATAACTATGGGTAACTAAAATTAAATCTATTTCTATGCAGTTCTGTTCTAAACTAAAGTTACAGTATGAAGTTTTTCATTTATTTTCGAAGTGAAAACAAGCAGCTAAATTTTCATTTATATTCAAACCCATAGTCTCCTTTTTCTATTTTAAGGCGAGTGTTTATCTGTTCCTTTACAATCTGATTGAAACCAAATAGCTCATTGTCTGTGAATATGGGATGAGTTAGCGTGGTCGTGTTGATGACAGAAATACTTCCACTCACTCATCACGTGCCTAAATCTCAGCGATGGAGAAATTATTGCTGAGAAGCAAGTGTTGTGGTCACAAAAACCTGGAGTGCAGTTGTCGTGGATCCCAATATGCTATTTCATAATTACTGATTTTGTGATGGGTGTAGACAACATAATCTCAGTGATTTTATTTATCCATTGTGTTTATTATTTGCAAAAAGAAGTAAATTAAAGTAAACTGGATTTAAATGAAATGAAAATATGTGTAATGTTTCTTATGTTTCAAGAAACTTGAATAGTTTTTGTTTTCCTTCATACGTTTTAGTGTTAGTTTCTCGCAATGAACATTAATTATATAGAGTAGTTTAAATATGATACCATTTGCAAACTGTTGCTTTACATGCTGTTTATATTATCAAAAATGACTTTTCACTTCTCTTTTAAGCATTCTTTTCGTCTTTTTGATTCCATAAAACATAGTAAATAATCTGAAAGGTGTTTTGAAATTCAGTGAAAAAAAAATATCACGCATATTTCTTAATTTGTTCAAAAGATTTGCATGATATTTAAATAGTTTGACCTTAATTTCTTCGCAACTCCATTTAGCAGAATTTATTGAAACACTTAGTCTCGGAAACATTAGAACAAATATAATTTTACATATGATAGAATATATCTGATAAAACGTGTTCAGGGCTCATTTCGCCCAAAAATTCTACGAAGTTTCCTAGCAGACTTATAAAACACCTGATACATTTACTTTATATTCTTTTCTTTCTGTAGGTTGAATATAAATCAAAATTATCGTCAAGTTATGTTCAAATAAGTCAAGATTTGAAAACGTTTTTTGAAAGAATTAATCCAACAGCAAGAAAACTAACGTCAATACTTACATGAGTTAGTTGATATTTTTTATCACTTACTATGTAGCTGATGAATCGCTTTAGAAGTAGAAATGAAAAGGAGAAAAGAACACAAAAAAGTAACATTTTGCTAGAAGAAAACTTACCAATGCCAATCGAAATGGAAGTTAGCTTTGTTTAAGTTCTGCTCACAACGAGAGAAACAAAGGAATATCGATTCATAATTTTGACAACAATACTCGTCGACTATGAGTAAAAGAATGTGTTCACTTATACTATCGAGCAATTTTGATTGACTTCATTATTCTCGTCTTTAAACATCGGGTGAACTTTCAACTTGGGCTATCGATAATAGAAAAACAAAATAATGGCTCAAGATCTTCCAAAATTATCATCTTTTGTGAGAAGCTTCTTTTTTTATGTACTTATATTAATTATCCAACAGGAAAAGTGTCTTTAAAAAAAGTTCATTAAATATATAAAATTGATAATATTGTCAGATCTGAAATATGAACTTTGATATTTCCAACGAATAACTCATACTGAAAAAGCTCTGATAGAAAAATTTTAGCGAAATCATTTGTTTTGGCAAAGGTAATGAGTTCTGATCAAAAAATATTGTTTGTTCTCTTGAAAGCGTTCCAAAACTTGAAGTATGTTTTTCTGTTTTCAGTTCCTTTGCGTTTTAATTTTTCTTCGTGATATCTCATTCGAAAGAGTGAAAAACAACTAAGCTACATTACAGACATCGTACGATTTTTATGGTCAGAGAAAGCTGAATACAAGACAGAACACTCTGCTGTTCAGTCACCCACTAGAATGAAGTCAAGCAGCAGGACAGGACATGACAGGGAAAAAAATGTTGTTCTATGACCAGTTCTGATCTTTTTCGATCTTTTTTAATAAATTTACATTAATACATTCATAACAATGACAACACAGTTTCTTGTTGAAAAATCATTGAGATCAATGAGTCTATTTGAGTATTTTCTTTGGCTTGACTTGGTGGTATATCATTATTTATTATTTATGCAGTTTATTAAAAGTAATATGTTTGTTTTTCTTCAGATGGAATTTTGTAAACTATTCCAATTTTTTCATATGTCTTAATGACTTCAAATGATTTAGATATGCCTATCAAAATGAACCTAATTCAAATCAATATCCTTTTCAATGGATATAAGCTTTTCTCTTTGATTTCAATTAGACTAAGCACCATTCAAGATGAAGAGGAAAAACAATCTTATCAATGTGCACTAGAAAGGCGGAGTCGATTAGTTTGTAAAGATCTATTTTAAGTGGTATTTTGATTAGGATTTTTAAAGAAAAAAAATCAAATAATGTAAACTATTGATAGTTACTGAAAAGAAAATATACAGTAGAAAAAAGAAACGTTAGCATTTATGAAAGTAGAATGAACTAATTAGTTTCTAACAAATATACAATGATTTTCCTGATTTTCAATTATTTTTGCATATTCTTTGCATTGTTCAACTTTTTGGATAATTTTTTTCTTCTAGTCAAAGAAGAACTTTCTCAATCAGAAAGATGTGACAGAAAAACTAAAGAAGATAAAATGAAAGAACGGTAATGAATTGAAGAAAGCTAGAGCTCATCTAAAAGAATCTGTCATTATCATTATTGCAGTAAACAGTAAAGTAGATGAAATAGATTTTCTTTTAAGAAGTCGCAGAGATTCTCTAATAGCGAGTACAAAGAAAAATACGAAACATCTTAAAAAAATGTCTCGGGAATATGTTTCTATTTGTAATGTTTACAGGATCAGTTATCTTGTAGATTTAGTTCAATTCTATTCTGCAAATTGACTGATAACACATGATTATATTTAGTTTAAAAATAACAAAATCAAAACCTAGAATGTTTTTAGAGAAACTAGTTTAAGTGAAATGAGATTATCTAGTCTTGTAGCCGGTTATGATTATCTTGATCCTACTTTCTATCATATAGATCAATCGAAAAATTTCAACTTTGAAGTTAAACTTCATTCATTCGACCATCTGTTCGTTATAAGATCAACGAAAACTCAAATGATTAGAAAATCATGAACTATTTGAGGAATTCACACAAAAGGTACATACTGCTATATATCACTTCATCCATGGCAATATAAGTAATGATCAATTGAAGGTGAGCGTTAAATCTTCACAGATAGACTTATTAAAAAAAAAAAAACTAGAAGAAATGTAATGTTCGTTTTTTTCTTTTTTTGTGTCCTCCTCTATTGTCTCTTTTTTGGCTCAAACGCATGTTCGTTTTGAAAATAAAATACTTATGAACTATTTCAATAGTGTTTTTTCTTGATTTATCAATATGGAATGTCTCGATCAAATGACAAACAACACGTTCAGACTTGAACATCTCAAACATAAAAATTTCGACAACAATTATTTAATCTAATGAAACGTTCATAGCCAATGATTAGAATGATTAACTATTTATGATTAAGTTAATAATATACGAATTCGACATTTTTCTACACATTAAAGAGAATATTCTTGTGCATGTTCCTTTTTAACGACGAATCTCTCTTCTTTTTCTTTTATCGGCATTATGTCAACGATTAATCTTATTATTCATCAGATACTATAGAAAATTATTTCGTAGTTTTATTGAAAAAACTATTTTCAAATGTTAATTTTGTACAAATGACTAGTATAAGTCTACGCTTAAAATATTCCATTTTTTCTTATCACTTATGGAACCATAAATAGTTTATATATTGATTAAATATTGAAAAATTATTTTTTAAAAATTTATTCTTCATCTCTTTTCCTTTTTCCCAATTCATCATAATCATTTTTCGATACAATAGTCGAAGTCGATTCAATTCGACTATCTGCTAAAAGTTTTTTCAATGCTAATTGTTTATCCTCATCAATATCCATAAAATGTTGTTGATTATTTGTTTTCTTTTTTTTCTTTTTAAATATCTGAGATGTTGTTTTATTTTGATTGATTAATTGTGAATTCATTGCAAGTAATTGTTCAATACAATAATTAACTAAATATTTTTTACATTGTCTAATACTTCCACCAACATGAAGTGTTTGTATTGAACATTCAATTTGATCAATGATTAATTTTGAAATAAATGTGGCTGCTGTTTGTAACATATGTTTATTATCACGAAGACATCTAATAATAGCAACATGTGTTGAGGAATTATAATAAATAATTGAAAGATTTCGTGTAAAATGAGCAATACCAACATCACCATATAATCGAGAAATCATTGTTTCAAATGTTGTATGAATATGTGATGATTTAATTATAATTGTTGGATTAAAATTAAAATGAAATTGAAAAACAAAATATCGACGTTTAACACGAACCATATTTATATTTTATCTAGAAGAAACAAAACTAATCATTTTTATGTTCTAATCGTTCATATTCTTTTCTAATTTTGTTTATTCTTTCCATTTCTTTTTGAGGATTTATATAATAAGGTCGTTTAATAGGTTTTCGAAGAATACCAGTTTCACGATAAATTGTTCGTTCAGCCAAATATATTTGTGTACATTCTTCACGAAAATTTTCATCATTAAACCTACAATAAAAAAAAAAAATCAAAATAATATGTTGATTTTTTGACTTTTTTTTTTATAAATTACCATTTAGCAAGACAATCGTTCATTGCTTTTACTTCTTTTCGACATTTGACAAAAGACCATACACCATGTTTTTCACCACATTGACCAAATTCTAGATCGATATTAAAATATAAAAAGAAGATTTTCTTTCATTTGATTGTATCTCACCATCAAGTAAATTATGACATTTTTCTCGATGAGCTCGATCTCGAATAATTCCTGGTATAGAAACTTCTAATTCAACTTTACGTAAACTTTTATCATTTGGATCACCTATACAAGAACAAATTTTTATTCAAAATTAACGAATAACTTCTTCTTCGTGTAATATCTAACCTACACCATGAGGACCACCTCGATATCGACCAGCAGATACATGAGTAGGTGAAAATATTTCTGCTTCGTGTTCTGTTTTATTATTAGTCATATCTGAAATAACTGACATTATTTTTTCTTAGAAGAAAATTTTTTTTATTTTATCATTTATTTTTTCGACAAACAACATATACATATAATATTGTCACTTAGAGTTCTTCATGTTGTGATAAATATTGACGAAGACGAGTCAACATTTCTTTTTTAATTGTATCAGGTACAAGTGCTAAAAAAAACCAATACAAAAATTCAAATTAGATGAAAATTTGAGAAAAATATGTTTACCTCGGCCTTTAGGCGTAATTTCTTGTACAAGTTCATCAACTGTGATATTTTCAAGACCTTTTTGTTTAACAATCTCTATAAAATAAAAACTAATATAGAAAGGACATATTGACTTGAGTGATATCATACTTAAAACCGGATCGGTTTCAAGTATATGTGTCCTATATTCTGGATATTAGAAATGCATCTTTCGAAATTATTCAAGGATAAATTTAAAAAATACGTGTTTTAATAGTAATCTAGATTTAAGCAGAAATATAAGTACGAAAAAAAAAAAGATATAACATCTTTAATTTCATCTCGATTGAAGCTCAATTTTTTCCTCAAAAAATAAACAATATATTCCATTCATCGTAAAGTGTTTTAAATTGATTAAATCCCTAATTTCTGTATATGAAATGGATGAGTTTGCTTATATATAGTCTAGTCCACTTGCATGTGTCTCAAACTGTCGTTATCTTGAACATGATTGAGTATTGCGAATAACTTTTGTTAATACCTTTACAATAAGCTTTCATTTGATCTCTCCATCCATATTCCATCAATCGTTGTCTTAAAAGTTGTTTCATCCTATTTGATAAAAACAAATAGAAAATAAATTAAAATTAAAATTTATATATTCAATCTTACTGTTCTCTTTCACCACTCTCAATTAATTTCGCATTTAATGAAGCTCGAATTTGGGCATTTCGATCAACCATTTTTAATAAAATAATCTGTAAAAAAAAGAAGAAGAAAAGAAAGAACTAAACTCATCTCGATATTGTTAGAAAATGTTGACAATATTCTATTTTTATAGGGAAAAAAACCGATAAATACAATATCAATGGGAAAAAAAGAAGTCTTTTTAATTCTACAATTGGATTAATAGAATGGTAAACGTGTCCAACTTTGATAACGAAGAAAAAATGGTTTTATATCCCAATTATTTGTTGCCCAATAATATCGAGGATCCTAAATAAATATTTTAATTTAGATTTAAAATTTAATAAAATCTAAATATTTACATATTTCATAAGACTTGTTTGACTTTTTTGTGCATTTGGTTCAGTCCACCATTCCGAAAGATGAAGAAGGCGATTAGCATTAAACATTCGTGTCCAAAAATGTTCATCTTGAAGTCTAATAAAATTAAATAAACCAAAAACAAAAAACCTATAGTAAGCAAGATGAAATTCAAAACATACAAAGCACGAAATCTTTCTAATTCAACATCAACTGTCATACGCCAATCCGGAAATTTATTTGTATCATCAAAATTAAGTTGTTCAATATCAAAAACAATCTTAATAGAAGAAGAAATTTTTAAATTAAATAACACAATAAAAAAAACCTACATCGTCCAATGTTTTAATTTCATTTTCATTGTATTGAAGAATGTGACAATATGTACTGTAAAACAAATTTTTTTTTTCGTTTTTCGTTTTTCGTTTCTTTTTTTCAATCGAGAAATAATAAGAACAAACCTCATTCTTGGCAACCATTCTTCTTTGTACATTCGATCCATTGCTTGAAGCAATTCTAATGAATATACTTTACTCTGTTTATGATAGTCCTTTAAAATTAAAATAAAATCGTTTAATTTATAAAAAAAAAAAAAGAAATATTATAATAATAATATTACTTTTCCATTTTTTTGCAAATCTTCCCAAATAGCATGAGGATCTTTATCAATGAAGATAATAAGACGAGGCATTTTGAAATTATAATCAATTGAAACTTTATATTCCAATAAAAAGTCATAACCTTTTCAAAAATAATAATATATTATTAAATACAATATTTTTCAATTAATATTAAATAGGAACTTAATTGACTGTTTAATTTACCTCTTAAAAATTCAAGTACCGAACCTTTTATTAAAAGAATCAAGGTTATTCATATCTATGAGATTCATCTCATAGAAGAATCATTTTTATGTTACACGAACAATGACATCATGAAAAGAAAATTGACTATAATTGATCAATTTTTTTTCTTTTTATAAAACGTTTTCATATTTGCTTTCTTAACAAACATCTCGATAAAAGATTTTTACTTATTTTTCTTTCTTTCTCTTCAATAACGGTTGTCAAAGCAAACTTTTATTATTCGATGAAGTTGAAAAATGTTAGGAAGAGAAAAAAAAGAAAAGAAAAGGCTTCTTGTAACTGAATGAGTCCGTTTAATTTTTTTTGTTACGAATAACATCAAAAATTTTTTCATAACTACGAATAAAAATGACATTGATTATATCTAATTAATTGATATTTCTACGTCAAGAAATAATAATTCAAATGATGAAGCGAATACTAACGTTCGTTTTTATTGTTTTAAGTAAAGGAATTGATCTTTTTCTATCATGAAAGGTTATATTGATAGGAGCTATTAAAAGATTAAAATAGGACATGAAACGTGGTTTTGAGAAAGATATTAACTCGGATATTTGACTCTGTCACAAACAAAGTAGATTATTTTAAATAGACAAACTGTTTGTCTATGATAATTTTTCACATTGGTCAATACAAAAGAATCTGTTTTTTTTTAGCAGGAAATCTATGTATAAAAGTATGGAAAGGGATGCCATTGCCATTGGAATATTAGAAAGGATTTCTTTTCATAAATCTGGCTTCAAATAATCATGACTAATGTCCATTTTAAAATAAGAAGCGGATGGGTATTGTTTGAATAAATTTTCATAGAAACAAAACAGAGGACTGCGGTTTTTAATATTGGAAATAGGGGATGAAGTCCCATCAAATCATACTTTATAAGTTCTCCTAAGATATTTTCTGAAGTTTTTTTAATCGAGTTTATTTCAAAAAAATGTCGAAAACAGTTCCTTTTAACATAAATGTGATTTTTTTTCTCAGCAATTGCTTAAAAAATCGATCGAGAATATTGATTAGGACACCAATGGCTTCCGAATACCTAAACTGACGCTTGCATAGTTTTGTAGAACTTCTATTGACAGCTAAGATGCATACTTAGTTATTCAAAACTCATTACAGTCACCTCATAGGGTACGTCAAGTTTCAAAAAGGTCAATTGAAAAACTTTAAAAAACCAAGTTGAAAAAACTTGTAATATAAGATTCAATTCAATGCGTCTTCATCTTATCTTTCTAAAAGGGCAAACCGCAGTTCTCGATTTCTTTTTTATCAAAATTTATTAAAGAAATTCTTATCCGCTTTTTTTCAAAAATGGACATTAATATTAGATTGTTAGTATATTGATCATTATCCATTTATTTATTTTATTTGTTTATCAATTTCACTATTCCTTAATTCATATTTATATTGTCCTAAAATGACAGAATTTAATACGTTTTCTTCAACAAGTTTTTCTAACCGATTAAGAGAGTTTTTTCTAAAAGTTAATATTATTATTTTTGTTTTGCTTGTTCTTAACAAACGAATATTTAATTATATCAATAAATATTTTGTGTAGTTATGTCATTTCAGTATATATGATTTTCTTATTTTCTCATAAAAATAGTTTTCTGCCTTGATTCAATTACCATTATAATATTATTATGGAAAAATTACACAAGACCGTATCAGACAGATAGATCAAACCAAAGAAAATATATGAAAAGTACAGTCAAGTTAAAGAAGTTCATAGCCTTTTTATGAGTCCACCTGTAGATCTATTTCGAGCTGCTTTTCAATACTTCATTCTTACTATATCAGGCGAATATTGTTCAACCTTGAACCACATCATATATATCCTAATCAAAATTGGCCTTTGGTAGAATTCATTTTTAATTAAGCTCAAAACTACGAAAAAATTTTCTTCTATTTAAAAATAAATTTTTATTTTTGTTTGCATTAAGAAAACATAATATGTATTTCTTTTTCTTTTTTACTAGACAGAATATTCATTTTTACTTATTCATATTGTAATTTATGCACCAATGGTCTCCTCTCCATCGACACCAGAAAATAATTTTCGAAAGTATTTTTATGAACAAACAAAGTAACATTTTAACCTTTTCGGTTACTTAATTCGGATAGAAGGCGCTTATTATTCAACAACAGAGAATACACAAGTGAAAAAATTCTTCGTTTTTTTCAGGTCGAAAAATCAGTCAATCAAGCTTAACAGCATTATTATATTTATACTTTTCAATCATAATTCGATGTTAGTTCATTTCCGTTAGATTAATCGATGTTAACATAAATACAGAGGAGGATAGTTTGAGGTCGGATCTTTCACCAACAATATAATTTTTTATTTGACAATTTTCGTCACTCTCTGCTTGAAAATATGATTTTTTTAATAATAGAACTGAGAATTTTCGAAGGAACTTTATTCGAGATATTTAATATTTTTTATTTGAAAGAATCTGTCAACATACACAACTTGAGAAGTCCTTTTTTCAAATTAGACTTTTCTATTAATATATAGACAAGCACATCTATATATAAATCACAATCTTTTTTATGTATTAAACTTGTTGCTCATCTTCTCCAGATAATAATTAAGGATATAAAACAAAGCTCTGCCACATCCTGCATCTTCCCACGCTGCTTCAAACAAAAAGAAAACTACATATATATAGAATGTGGCTCCACGACGAATTTCGCTTTCTTAAATTGGCTATTTTCGAGCCTTGTTTGGTGAATATGTCATTTCAAACTTCATGGTTTACAACGTAAAATGTCAGCTGATTTAAATAGATAACGCCCGAAATTGTGAAAGTTTGAGGAAGAGCCTTTAAAATATGACTTAATTTCATCATTTTCTCTTATACTATGGAAAGGAGACAGATGAAAACATGAATGTAAACTAATATCTAATGTTGTCGCCATTAAGTTATATAGTAAACTTATTGAAATCATTGTAAATTTCTCAAATTTCAATTGATAAAAACTATTTCTCAAAATTGATTAGAAAAAACTTTTGATCAGTACATCTCATGAATACATAGTGCCCAAATAATCACGATTTATGACTTTTAACATGACGATTTATTCAATGGTTAAAATTTTCAATTAAACGCAAATAGATTCGTAATACAAAAAAGAACATAAGACTTGATACTTCTATTTTATGTTTGACATCAAAATGAATACCAAAATACACAGTACTAATCAAAATTAAAAGATCAACGTATTTTTTATTTTTTCTATGTTACCAAACATTTAGCTCAAATTCAAAGAATGGTTTGAATAGTCAATGAAGATCACTATCAAAAAATATATTTCATGATTGAAATTTCATAGAAGATCTATAAGAGAAAGATTTCTCAAAAAGCAAACACGAGGATTTTCAGATCCCAAAAGCCTTTGTGGAAATAAGAGATCACCAATTTTTTTTCCAAATTTTTATCATGCTTAGTATTTGTTAAGGGAAGATCATCAAAAATACAGTGATCTCTCATTTTTTTTCAGGATTTTATGCTCTTTAATATGATATTCTTAAAAACTATTTTCCACATAATCTTCTGATATTTGAAAATGATTGTGTTTGCTTTTTGAAATGTCTTTCTCTTATAGAACATCTATGAAATATCTGTGTGAAATGCATTTGATAGAGAACTTCATTAGCTACTCGAACTACTATTTTGGTTTGAATTAGATGTTTAGTATCATAGAAAAATTCAAAAGCACGTTTATCTTATATTTTTTTTACCAATACTGTACAATAATGTTTTGTAGACTTTTGACCTCGTTTTTTGAACAATTTTCCACAAATCTCAATATGTACTTTTCAAATCATTTTTTTCAAACATTGAATAATGAAAATAAAAACATTTTATGTAAAAACAAAACTTACCGTCTTGACTAATAAAACCAAAATCACGAAGAATATTGAGAATAGGATAATAACTCCAATAGGATCGATCCATAACAATTCCTTGTCCTATGAAATAAATAAAAAAATTGATTTTTTATATTATTAAATAAAAACTATACCTGTTGATAACATATGTGATAAACCCATTCTTAATTGATAAGTCATTGTTTGTAAAAGAGGTCTTAATAAACGTACAGATCCATAATGATTCGGATTTAAATGCCATTCTTCAGGTATTGGCATATAATCTCTGGGTAAACAATAATCATTATGAAATTGTCGTGTATTAATTGTTCCTGTTTCATCTACGAAGTGCATTCGATCCATATCCGGCTTTGAAATAGGTAAAAATCCAATATGATTAGCTAGACGTTTAACAAAATCCGAACGACGAACACCAAAATTTGATTCAACATGAAAAAATAAAGTATTATCATGAATATTGGCTAATGTATAATGACCACCTAAATAATAATGACGAAAAAAATCTAAATAGAAAAAAAAAAATATATATAATTTAAAAAAAATAATAATAATCATATAATTAAATTACTATAATTCTTGTTAACATAATCAAATGGATGAGCCGGTTTTTCTGTATCCTTGTATTGCATAGAAAATGCTCGATGATTTTTAGGAATCAAACATGTCGATACAATAAGCAATCGATGGTGTTGATTTGCCACAAAAATTCGACGGAGCGAAGCAGCAACACCGCCGCTCATTTTTCTATTTAATTTATCTTAAATATCAAAAATGATGGTAGATGAATTAGACAAAAAAAACAATCGTTCTTATTTGAATCTATATATTGTTTATTCATTCATCTACTTCAATGTTGTCATCAATCATTGGTTAAGTATTGACCATTAGGATTTTTCCCTTTCATAATCGTCAATTGCAAGTCTCCTTTTAACTATTTCTTTCACAGCTTTACCTACATTCGTGACTCATCAATTATTTCTTTTTAATTTTCATCAAAAAAATCCCAAAATATGTTCTTCCTTCTATTCCAGAAGCTTCTTTTCGTCATATTTATGTCATTGCAAGAGACTTCTTTCAATTTGATAGTTTCAGATAAATATTTAACTAAAACTTAATTTACCGGTGTAATAAAAAAAAGATACCTATAGCACAATGGCAACGGCTGTTCCTGATTATTATTGTCATAAATGTCGACTACACATCGGGCATGTTACAGTAAGAATTATTTCAAAATAAAAATCTTCTTGATTATTATACGACTTTTTGTTTAGAATTTTGAATGCCCACGTTGTAGAGATAGTTTCATAGAAGAACTTCCTGCACAACATTCATCATCGTAAGTATTTTCTTCAGCAATAGATTCAAGATCTTGGCAAATGAGAAGGGCGATCATCGTCACAAAATGTGTTTTGAAGTCGAATTAGAGATCATGTAGGCAGTGGCGTAGCCAGGAATTTTCTAAGGGAGGTGCCCGACTCATTATGGAGAGTGCACACCAGCCGAAAAATAAATTTTTGTTTCTCGGAAATATTTTTCACCTGTACCTCCCTCCAGATGTTTCTTGACCAAGGGGTGTGCTCGAGCACCTTATGCACACCCCCTGGCTACGCCCCGGCACGTAGGCTCATTTTTTAGGCGTTTTCTTCTGAAAATAGTTCGAAAATGAATGACGATCGTTTCCTTCTAAATCTGTCAATGATTTTGTTTTAGAATTTAAAAAAAAATAAAATTCAAATAAAATGTTTAGTCATTCGCGAAGTAATCAATCACGCAATCCTAATAGATTTCGTTTTCATGGTTCAACACCATTTGGTAATACAACTATAGTTATTGGTGGTGGTAGTCATCCATCAAATATTGGAAATAATCAAACTAATAATCCAGATCTAGGAACATTTTTTCAAACAGTTCTTTCACAAATTGTTGGTGGTTCACAGGTTCCATTGTAATTATATAATTCATGTTTAGAAAGAAATTTTTAAAAAATTATTTTCTTTGTTTTTAGTGGTATGCAACATGGCGGAGGAGGAGGAATTTTCGAGTCAGCAAATTTTGATGCTTTTCTGACTCAAGTAAATATTATTTATTTGTGTGTTATTTTTTTTTTATTTATTCTTGATGTTTTTCTTTTGTTTAGTTTTTAAATCAAATGGGAGAAAATGGTGGCCCGGCACCGGCATCGGAAACTCGTATAAATTCTATTCCAACAGTGAGAGTAACAGCTGCACAAGCACGTATGTTTTTTTTTTTCAATATTCTTTAAAAATCAAATTATTTTTAATATTTTTATTTAATTTATATTTAGGTGATTGTCTACAGTGTGCTATTTGTATGGATGAATTTAAACAAAATGATGAAGCTAAACGTCTTCCTTGTTCGCATCATTTTCATGAAGAATGTATATTACGATGGCTAAGAATGGTTATTTATAAATATTATTTTATTTAATTAAATAATAATTTTTTGTTTAATTTTAGCATGGAACATGTCCAACATGTCGTGTTACATTAGATGGTGATAATACAAGTAATCGGGAATATTATAATTTTTCTCCAAATCAACAACAAACATCATCAAGGAATAATAATCGTCGAAATAATGGAGGTAACAATGGATCTAGTTCACATTCAGGGTCAACTTTATTCGACTTCGATTAAATTAAAGATATATATATATATATATATATATTTGTATGTGAGATTTGTTATGTAAAGAACAAAAATAAATTTCGTTTTTCTTTTTCTTCTAATGATATTTATCTTTTTTTGTCTTTTTTTCTTTGGCCATTGTATCGATTTTTTTTCTTTGTTGAAAATAAATGAAATCATAATATAAAGTTAGATAAAATAATTACATACAATTTTAATTAATCGTGAAATTTGTTTTTTTTTTTTGTATTTTCGATGCATCATTTTGAATTATTAAATATTTTATTTGAGAAAAAGAAAAAATGATTAATAAACAGTTTTTTTAATAAGATTCGATGATCGAAATGTTAATGATTGTGTAAAGATAATTAAATGAAAATAATCTAACTATTACATATATTAACAGATTTCATAATTGGAGAAAAAAAAATTAAAACTTTTAGTCATTTATTTATTGATTGATGAAAATATTCTATTCGAATTAATATTTTCTAATTTATTGCATTTTTGTACTTATCAATCAATTTGGTTGATTTTACGGTTTGAGATAATGAGTTTTATTCTGTAATTAAATAAACAGTGTAAAAACTTTGTTTACGACATTTTGATTTACATTTTAGTTTATTTGAAAGAATAAAATCATTTATTAGAATTATTCCTTTTCTTTTCGTTGTAATAATTTGTATAAAATGATAAAATTCTTTTTGATAATTAAATTGTTTCTCTCTTATTACATATTATTCTTTTAGTAAATAAATCCATAATCAGTTTTTAAAGACATATGACTAACATTCATTAATTCTACTTTGCATATTAGTCTTTCGAACGAATAAAAACTCACATCGGTCGAATATTTTGTATTTGTCAAATATGAATGCATAAAATTCTGCCCATCTCCGACAAACATTTTAGGTTTTTGGTATGAAAACCGTCGAAATCAAACCAAATGTTTGTGTCAAGTGAAACCAGCTTAATCTGCTCTATGCAATACTGCAGGTGAATTTTCTCAAAATTTTCAATAAAATAAAAACATTTCATAGAACTTTATCGGAAGAAAGAATATTTCAATCTTTTATCTATCTTGCAATATGGAGTATTGCCTATTAGTAGATTCTATAATCCAATATCTTCCCTACAACTATAAAAGACCGATCTGACGCAGAGTTCTTGCGCTCCTCATAAACACTAACTAAACGCACAAGCAGATGTTTATTACAACGTAGTCACCATACTATTGGACAGATGATGCGAGGCAAACAGATGTTAGTGATTTATCCAGGGGCTCATTCCATGGCTAGTAGTGTTAAGCTTTGTACTTGATAGATCTTTTAAAAATGTGATGAAATCTAGTAGCAGTAGAAAATCAAGCAGGTCATATTTGGCACAAAAGTTTTCGGTGATTTTCATACCGAAAAATTTTCAATCTTGGTAGCAGATGAACAAAATTTGATTCATTCATAGTGCCAAATGAGTATCGAAAGATTTTTATCTTTGTATTATTTGAAAAATTCTAAGCAATTCTTTTCTTTTTTTAGCTTAATGAAAATAGAAAAAAGAATCTGTTATTGTCCTACGGTAGGAGCAATAATCTCCCAGGTGTTTTATTTGTTGTTTTTTTTTCTCTTTAATTAACAGATGATGATCAACAAAAACAAACAACAAGCATTATATAAACTGTTGCTTATCAAATAATTTTCTTCTTTTGTTTTATTGTTTAGACGAGCACTTCAGGAAATTCAAAGTGAACATCTTTGCCGGTAAGTTTCTTGTAAATTGATTGAAAAGCTGGCACCTAGAAAACAAAGAGAAAAAAGAAAAATATTTCTATTACCAATCATTTATAAAACAAACCTTAGTTTCAACAAGTGTTTGTTGATTTTTATCTAGATGAACCTTAAATAAACGAGATCCATCCAATTTAATTCGAATACGTTTGCCTGTTATTTCAGCTGGATAGACAAGATCGTGTAAAATGGCATCATGAACTGCAGTTAATGTTCGACTAAAAAAAAACAAAAAAATAAATTTAAATCAAAACAAAAATAAAAGAAACATACTTTCTTGGACGTTTTTGTTTCGATTGTGTTTTCGATTTACGTGTTGGTTTTGGTAAAATTCGACGCTAAAATTTGTAAAGAAAAATAAAATAAAAAACTTTGAAATAAAAAATAAAAACCTGTCCAAGAAGAACAACAGTTTGATTATATTTCTTTTCGAGTTCTGAGACAAGTAACGAATGAACTCGTTGAAAAGCCTTTATTTTTGGCACTGGAGTATAAATAACAAGAGCTGATCGTCCATCACCCAATTCAACTTTCTATTAATAAAAAAATTCATTTAATTAATCATAATTAATAAAAATCTTTCAAACCTTTGCTCCAGTGATATAAAGTTCTCGTAATTGACCTTTAAATTGTGCATTACCTTCAAGTTCAGTAAGTTGCTAAATTAATTTTATAAAATAAACAAATCAAAAAATTTAAACAAAAGAAGAAAACGAATCTTGTTTCTTTACTTGTGAAACATCAAGTTCGAGAGGCGTTGGTGGTTCACTACCACTTTTCATGATCTTAGTACCGGTATTCATTGTTGACAATAAAATTTTAGTCAAACAATCTAAAATAATAAAATCTTTATGTTTGTAACTCTCTATCAGCTAAATACAAGAAATGAATTAAAAAAACAACAAATGGATCCTCCACTATATTCCATATTTTATCATATTGAATCAAATAATCATCGACGAGTGTTTTTTTGTATTTTAAAAAATTTTTTCGAAAAAATATTTTTATTGATAAGAAAAATAAGATATTAATAGAGAAAAAAAAACTTTTTTTTTTTTTCCATAAAAATAAAACCTTTTCAACGGATAATTAAAATAAACCAATAGGAACTATGAATTTATTGTTCAATAAGAATTACAGCTGTGATGTTTTAAGAGAAGAAAAAAAAGTAATGCTTAAATAATCGTATGTTATGGATCTAAACAATGGAAAACAACTTTCACCATGGAAAGCTCCATCACGTATATCATTAAAGCGTATTCGTCATAAAATAAATTCAGATTTATCAGTTCAAACAGTTTCATCATCATCAACAATAATTGAAAAAAATTCTCAAAAACAAAATGGAAAACGAAATCGTCTTGTTATTAATAAATTTGCATTAGCACGTTCAATATCAACACCAACAGCTGATGAAAATCTTACACCATCAATATCAGAAAAAACAAATAATGATGAACATTTACTTGCACGACTTCATCAAATCATGCCACCACCACCACCATCAATTAATGATAAAAATTCAAATATAAATTATAAAAGTTTTTCATTTGAAGAAACATTTCATAATTCTGAATCAAGTAAGATAAATAATAATAAATATTTACTAAATAAAATTTCTAATTTAGATAAAATATCTGATGAACTTGTTTGTTCATTTCCAATTGATTGGTCATTAAAATCTTCATGTCGTTTTTATTCTCTTGATTCATCATCATTTTTAAATAATTTTATGAAACTTCGTTCTACAGATGAATCTATTGCATTAGAATATATTTGTTCAAATACATCTCAAGATAATGAAAAAGCTCTTTTTCGTTCTCTTACATCATATTGGACATATCCACATATAACTTGGCTTAAATTATTTCCACGTTCACAACAACAACAACAACAACAAATAAATATTAATTTTTCATCATTAGATGAACAAGCACAAATTGCTTTACAAGATGAATGGAAAATTGCATTTCAATCTCTTTTTCAATCATTTAGAGCGAAATATTCATCGTTTTTTTATATGTCTACACATACATTTAATATTTTATTTCGAGAAGATTCTTCATCACAAATTATTGCAATTATTAGTCCAACAACTAGTGGTTTAAGATCAACATTTGAACGAGAAGGAATTGAATTTACAATGGCTGAGTAAGTCAAATATACCAAATAATAAGAAAAACAATATCGACACTTATGAGATAACAAAACTTTTATGCCTTAGAAAGTATTCAACAATGTTTTGTTTAATGTGAAAATCTGAATGGCAACAAGCCTTCTAGATATTGGCTCTATCCTGATGAAAGTAGACTGGACTTTCGTAAGTTGTGACGAGACAATATTAAGGGCTCGCCTCCACGTGCCCTCGTCGCCCCTCCCCTCCCCGGTTATTTTCCGNCGCATGCAAATAAACTACGATTTGGTATTGGAGATGCTGAAAATATTGATTTCAATGGATAGAACCATCTGATTTTCGTATTAATGAACTTTCGATAACTGAAACCGAAATCATATAAAATAACTTGAGAATAGATAGAGACAAATATAACAACATCAAATTTCTTTGAACTATCTCAATTACGGTTTGCTCATGTTCAAGTAACGGATGTTGCATATCGATAAACATGATACGAAACAAGTTTTAGCTATCGATTCATTATGATTATTCTTTCACTTGTCCTGAAAATAAACAGATTTTTTTAAATTAAATACTGTCTTTTCTTCACCTTTCTATTTAAAATTACAGGAAATATAATAGTTGATATATATTCTGATGGAGAAATGAACTTAGTTTCTGTTGTCATTTATGTTTTATAAGAAAAGTAAGAGCGTGAAACAGAATCTAAATCAATAACGAGAGATTCTGTTAGATAGAATTGAAATATGGTTAATCGATAATGAGATTATATTTCATAAAAGACAAACGATTTAGTTCTTTCAAATATATTGTATAATAGATCAGTCTCAAGCTCATGAAGAACATTAGGCACTCTTTGTGTTACATTATATCATTCAAAATAGCAAAAGCATAAGAATACATCATTATTGGCTTTTGTTCTTTTTTATATTTATTTAAGTCTAATAGCTGAGCATTTTAATAACATATGTCTGATAATGGATTCTATTCTATTTTATGTTAGATGACCTGTACAATAGAATTACATATCAAAGTACCTTGAACTTTCTGAGATCATCGACAAGCGTTGTTCACATCATGTATAATGAAATTTTTATCATGCTAGAGAGAACGAAGTTAATAACTATAATCAGGAGAAATCAAATCAATCATTTACTCATATTCTGAATCAAGAACTAACTCGTAATCCTTGAATATAGATTAAAGAATGTGTGAAAAGATTTACTATGTATGTTATTATACAAAAGTCATCATTTTGATGGTTTTTGTCAAAACTTTTGATTGATATTCTATGCTGAAAACGAATAAACTCAGCATTCTTTGAGCTATGTGAACTGAGATTGTCAAAAGCCTGTGTAATACGGTTCAAAACTCTTTTCTGTACCAAAACACGGAGATGAAGATTAGCAAATCGATTCAATAAAATCAGATGTATATATTTTTCGTCTGAACATATCCTTAATCTAGTTACATGATGAAGTTTTTCTTTTCTCATCAAAACCTAGTAGGTCCATTGCAAAGATTTCTTAATCGACAAACGTGACTGTAGAACCTTTTCGTAACTATTGAACAACTCATTTCAGAAAATGCTCAAATAGTATAATAATCATTTCACATCTTATCTATTGATTATGATGGTCTTGAAAAAAAGAACACAAGTCAATCTAAACATCATATAAAGATATGTTATTTATTTGTTATTATCATTATATTCTTTTGATGAGTTTTATTATCTGGTTTAAATNGAAAAATAATGGGTATCCGATAATAACTGATGAAAAACTGTTAATGATATTTTTCATACTTTTTATTGATGTAGAGAGCTGAAACTTTTATTACATATATATCTAATTAAGACCTTTTATTTCTGAAAATTTCAGCTCTCTACATCAATAAAAAGTATGAAAAATATCATTAACAGTTTTTCATCAGTTATTATCGGATACCCGTTATTTTTCCTTACTTTTGGGCCACCCTGTATAGCCTAAAAATGGTAGATAAAGTTTGCAATCGATAGAAAGATATTGTTCTGTTCACTTTTTAATAACATTATTCCTAAATCACTTATCAAAATTTCTGTAAGCATGCATTAAAAGATCACGATCATTCATTCATGTAGGCTTCTCATCTATGTTTTGTGAAGAGTATTCTATAATTATTTAATAATTTTATTTAATCTGCTCATTGCTCTAAAAATTTCTATATTTAATTTAAGCAAAAATATTCTATATACATGCAACAAGAGTTTTATAGTCTATTGATCTATACAAATGCTTGTGACTTAAATCCGTGCGACAATAACTCTATTAAGACGCAGTGAAAAATATTTTCTTTGTGTTCAATACTTTAAACTTCATTCCTAGACAAAACATAAAAGTTCTATTGTCATGCAGTAAAAGATTCGGTTCTTCCGTTTATGCAAAGACTGCCTCTCTATTTCTTATGAAGACCATTCTATTAATATGCAGTAAAATATATTTTCATTCTGCTCATTAGTTTAAAGAAAATGTATATTCAATTCATGCAAAAAATTCTATTGACATGCAGTAAAACAACTTTTTATTCTAATCATTCATACAAAAATTCCCATTTTTAATTCACTTAAAAACATTCTAATGTAAACTAACCTTGTCAAAAATGTTCTAATCAGGTGCTCATTAAGATTACTATACAAATAAATATGATACAAGTGTTCCCAACTTACGTTAGTGTGTTACGAGAGAGAGACACAGGAACAAAGAGAAGGAAACAAAGAACGGTGTTACGACGAATGAAATTAACGCACAGAAACACATAGCATTAGATAACCATTGGTTAGTGAAATCTACTTAGATAATCAACAAGGGAAAAGTAAATTGTCAAAAGAAAAAAAACAATAGAAATATTTTATTATTTCTAAAACCTTTTCTTTACCAGTTAACTATTCTTTATGTTTTTTGTTGCTTTTCTTGTATATTTAATCCAATGGAAATGGATTATTACATAAAGATAAAAGATTACCTGCTATCGACTAAAATACATCCTCACATTAATAGAATTAAACACACTTGACAGTTTAAGTGCATTTATTGTAGATCGAATATAATCTTTTGTTACATAAATAATCAAACTTTTTTCGGCTGTTTTTTTCAAGGATTCCAATCGAATTATTTGTTTCTTTTCATTTTCTTACCTTGTATGATTTAACCCATCTTTGTATTGTTTTCTATAGAAAAACGGATGTAGATATGCTAGCGATGACAATATTTTCAGTAGTATCACAAAATTCATCGATAGCAACATACATACGTACACCTTTTTGCACAAATTTATTGTATGGGACTTATCATGAAACAACATAAGAAGTTACTAATTTACACTCTATTATGCAAAAACTTGTTTTTCAACCTGGAACTGATATTAAATTTCTTCCCGTTCATAAATCTTTTTTGTTTTCAGTACTCTAATCGAAGTGGAAGCACTTAGTCATAATAAACAGATAGTTGTTTGCTTTACTTTTAGTGTACTTTGGATAGAATGTTATATTAATTAGTATTAACAAGCAGCTTCTCTTCAATTAACTTTTCTTTATGCCAATTCATTAAAATGTATGATATATCTATGTTAAAATGCATTAACTTGTGTAAATTCCTTGCATACAGACGTTAAAACATGTTCATTAATCTAATATCTTAGTTAAATCCGTTTAAATGCGTGAAACGTAAAAAAAAGTGTTTTCACGCGTTTATTTCTTGAATTTGCCTAGTAAACGAGTTTTATAGCGTTGTTTTCTTCAATTCTCATCGTCAATGCATCAAAACGGCGTTTTGCCGTTTATCTGTCTGCATGGGTAGTACTTATATATGTGCGAGGAATGGCATCTAGGAGACAACAATACTAGTGGTCATCTCTTTTATCGACTGGTTTATTTCTGGTTCTCTTTACATTTTCTGTTGTTTACATAGTTCTAACTGTTTTTCTTCACATTTTCTTCACCATGAGCAAAAATTTTCGTTTGTCGTCACCTGAAAAAATTGAAATTGTGAAATGGTACGCCGTTTACCAAAATGCAACTGAAGTTGCTCGTCAATTTCAAAATCGTTTCGATCGAACTCCTCCAATATCAAAGAACATTTTGAGTCTTGTAGGAAAATTTGATGAAACCGGAAGCGTCGAAGATAGACCTCGATCTGGTCGTTCTAGATCTGTTAGTACCGACGGTAACAGAAAACGTGTTCGTGCTGCTTTTAAAGAAAGTCCTGAAATTTCAACAAGAAGAGCTACTTTGGAACTGAATCTGCCTAGAAGTAGTCTTCGACGAATGATGAAGGAGCTGGGATTGAAGTCTTATCGTCCTCAATTACTCCATGCTTTGAACGAAGACGATCCTGACAGACGTTGTGAATTTGCCGACATCTTTCTGAACTTGTTAGCTGACGACTCTTCCTTGCTTAATCGAATTGTTTGGACTGATGAAGCCATTTTCAAGTTGAATGATCATGTCAATCGACATAATTGCGTTTATTACGTCGTAGAAAACCCTCATGTCATCATTACTCAAGAAATGAATACACCGGGCATCACTGTCTGAGCTGGAATTTGGGTTGAAGGTGTCATTGGACAGTTCTTCTTTCGTGATAACGTAGCTGTAGACAGCTATCTCGAGATGCTACAGAAAGACATTGTTCCTGCTATTGCAAGTGAAATGGATTTAGAAGAAATATTCTATAGGCACGATGGAGCTTCGGCTCATTACGCTCAATCTGTCCGGCACTTTCTGGACAAAACATTTCCTAATCGGTGGATTGGTTGACGTGGATCGATTGATTAGCCAGCACGGTCTCCAGATTTCGCACCGACTGATTTTTTTTATGGGCTGTGATCAAAGACCGTGTGTATGCGACGAAACCTCAAGATCTCCAAGCACTAAAAGATGCTATAATCACCGAAATGCAAAGCTTACCAGTGAAATTTTGTCGAAGAGCTTGTCAATCGGTACGTGAGAGACTTCAACTTTGCAAAGACTTAGAAGGTGAACATATTGAACAATTTTTGTGAAAAACTTCATAATAAAAATACTTCACAAAGACATACTTTTGTACGTGTGATTTTCTTTGTCGGAACTTCTAATAAGTTTTGTTGGAATGCACAAGTGTTTCCTTCTTTTCAGTCATTCTGTATTGAATGCTTTTCGACTAATTACCACACCTAAATATCGTTCATATGATGCATCTTTGACTTATATCACCTAGTATATGTGGTATAAATATGAGATCTAACGGGCGATCTATAAGATAAAAATCGAAAAAAATATTGTTTTTCCTTACTTTTCGCCCACCCGGTATATATGTGAAGAGTTAGACATTAAAAGAGACAAGAAAAAAGAATAAAGAAAAGAAAGAAAAAGAACAAAGAGAAGATCAAGACGAGAGTACACATAGAAGACAATATGAACCAATTTTATCCTTACATATTACAGCTAAACAATTTCATGGGAATTTTATTATTATGATATTAGGTGAACAATGATCAAATAGCACAGAAAGATAGAGCATTGCTTTTTGTATCACTCCATATAGAAAGAAAGGTTTCTCAAACTTACTATGTGGTACTAAAGTGTCACTCTAACTAATTTTATACTGTCGTAAGTAATTAAACAATCAATCGACAGCATTATTTAGAAACCTGTCAATTCGCATTGATAGAATTCACGTAGCGATGAATTTTATTACGGTTACTTTTCACGTTCATTCTGACACTAATCAGCTGATTGATCAACATATAACTTTTTTGATTTATCATAACGAACGAAAATTAACTGGTTGCTATAAGACGTAAACCTCATTAGGAGAAAAGCAATTCGAGACAAAATAGTAGACACAACTATTCCTTTTTTATGAGATGTCTTTTTTTTCTTTCGAAACTTGAGATTCGTGCTTCACACTGCATTTCGTATTCGAATCGAACTCGAATATCATCTAGGTTTGAATAGCTATCAAGTCTTTTTAATATCTATGATAACATTGTAAAAGCGCCACATTTTAAGTAGCTATGACGAATTAATTAAATAGAAGAATGTTTATTTAAAAAGTATCTCTTTTGAGAAGCGACGGTTTGGATTATATTTAATAAATATATTTGATACAATTACGTTAAATAGATATCGTGAAAATTTGTTGACATTTTTTTAGTTTACATATGAAAAAAATTTATACTATATTCCATCTTGCCATAATAAAATATCAATTTTTTAACATGTTAAAAATAAACTAACTCTCAATAATTATAGTCTTCTTGATTTGTTATTGATCAGTATCACAACTTTATGAATTAACTTAATAGTTATTCAATGAATAATAACTATGATGTTTTTCTTTCAATTATTTGTTTTTTTGTTATCTCATTAGAATATGATAGGAAAAACAGAGATTCGCATGTACTATCGAGCCTCTCTGTGTACGATAGATGCAGGCAAAAAGCTAATCGCTAGAAATAGAAAGGATGCTTGTCCGTTATTTCGTTTTTAAATTTAAAATACAAGATTTTTTTCTTGTGCAATTAATATAATTGTCAGAAGGAGGTACAGTGGTCCTCCTGTGGTGTTATAAAGTTAAGAAATGAAATTTTATCGATTTAACTGTGAATAATTCAAACTAATTATATACTATGATTAAATTCGTTAAGTTGCTAATTATTATTATTCTATGTAAATTTTTGTCTAATTCTTATTATTATCTGGTTTGTATTAAAGATATTGATGACAAACGTTTTTTTTTACCAGGCTCATTGCTTATCGAATCCAGTCCGCTCACGGCTTCAACGATTATTTTTTAAACTAGCAGGTTACTTTACGGGTCGAGCAGTCATTAAATCCTCACGATCTATTCGCAAGTCAGCTCCGCAGTTGATAGTTTTAATCTATTAAAATATTGTGATGTTCGTAAATAGAATGTTATCTTCTTTTTTTTATCGAAAATGTCCAAAAAGAATACAAGCAGTAGAGAAACGAAAGAATGAATGATAAAAAGAAATGACAAGTGAAATTTATGAATGATTCATAATCCGTCAGAGATCCAATTCTTGTACCAATTATGGATCAAGCAGATAAATTGAAAACGGATTAATCTGTCAATATCTCTGACTTATACTTATATTGTCGTAAAATATTTTTCCTTGATTTATCTTCTGTAATTTGTTCATCAAATAAATTAAAGAAATTCATAATCAAAAATAGACTTTGTTTAAATATTTCTTATTGCTTTTTTTCGGCGAATATGTAGCATATTATTTTTTTAATTAATAAATATATTCGTTTGATCATCTCATTTCGATTTGCATGGCCTTCTTGTTTTCATATGATGACACTCTTTTATTTCCATTCAAGTACTACTATAATATTAGTATATTAAACAAAATAAACAAATATTAACAGGCAAGGCAGGACGAGAGAAACATACGCCAGATACAGGCAGGTTAAACAAATTCATAGATTACCATATGTCCCATATAATCCATGAAAAATCAACTTGTTTATAACTCTGATAAGAAATATTGAAAAGATTAGAAAATAATCCGAAATAAACTATTGTTTAAATTAAAGTAAATATTAATGATTCATACTTCGAAAGAAAATGTATACTCTTATTATAATTCATTTTTAATGTTACATTATTTAGTTATGAACAGTATTGTGCAAGACATCGTCATTTTGAGTCAACGTAAAATGTATAACAAAACAAAGTTTTTATAATAAATGAAATGACGCTACGAGCAAAGCTAATCGTGAGAAAACGACACGAGTCGATACATTACTATGCATTTTGGACTTTCAAAAGAAACCACAAAAAAAACAATGGGATAGGTGAGATAAGAATAATAATCGTTTCTTGTCTTGATATTATCATTAAATAGACAGGGATGTGACGATAGGACTGTAAGGAGAGGTGTACACCGCCTCCCCCCTCCATTTTAAGAAAATTGTATATGCACTTTTCAGCTCTCAAAAAAGCTTTTTTGCACTCCCTCTTCTTTTCTTTCTCTTCCCCACATGCCTAAGTGAATAGAAATTCTTCGTCTATACTTGTTTCATTAAATCAATATGAATAAAGAGTTCCCAAAGAGAAATAACTTCTTTTTTTCTAAATGAATTCTCTTATTCAAAAAAACAAGAAAAAAAATAACAGAATAATTTTTTGTGAATTTATGAAATGACTTGTTTTTCGTTTTTCTTTGAACGCTGTAGATGTCACTATATGACACATCTAACGTCATTACCTCTATTTGATAAAATAAACAAGATGGCGTCGTAGTTCTCATTATTTCTTTTCTGTTTCTTTCACACATTGCTTTCCTCCGTGTTGCTTTCGCTTGCAGGTCCCATGATCATCATCGTCGTTTGTTCTTCTATTCTTTTTTTTTCTTTTTTAGTGTTCTTTTGCTTCGTCTTTTTCTTTGTTGATGTTGATGTCAAACCATCGACGAAAAGAAAAAAAAGCCGGCATTTTTTCTTTATAATGTGGGTACATAGATTCAAATAGAGCCGAGAAAGAGAAAGAACGGAGAAAAAAAAAAGCATCTATAAAAAGGAGTGTCTGTTAACTATACAACAGCGGCCATGACAGACAGCAGTAGATCGGCAACAACAATAACAAGTCTAACAAAAAAAAATTGCTCATATTCTTTCTTTTTCTTTTTTTTAGTATATATATATTGTAAAATAAACAGACCAAAAAAATCAGTTGTGTAATATCGCCATGTTGGTCTGATTTCCCTCCTATTTTAATCAAACTTCGAGCAACTGCTAAAACAGCAGACTCTTTTAATTAACCTTTCCTATTTCTTTATAATTTTCATCATCATCATTATTATCATTATGTCGACGTCAATGTGGCATGTTCAAAAACATCAAATCAATAATGTCTTTTTCAACTAAAATTGAATGCCCAATATATTAAAGTTATTAAATAATAAAAATAATTATTCGTCAACTGGGTGGCAAGGGCAGTGCTGGTCAAGAACAACAGCAGGTTTGTTATTGCTCCATAATTTGAAATAAGAAAGAAAATCTCATTGCATCATACATGAATTTCCGTCTTTTTTTTTATAGCAGGTATTAATAATCAGTGGTTGTCAACAAACTCCTTTATTTAAATCTTCCAAAAATTACAATGGTCATTGTCGTGGTAGGTCTTCGAACAGCTGGAAAAACAATAAATTCATTAACATCAACTCTGGAAAGATTATGTTCCAAAGAAGAACAAACATGGAAAGATCGAATATTCAATCAAATTAGATTAGTAAGCTTTTCTGTTTGTTTCTGTTAAACTAGGAAATAATGAAAGAAACAAAAAAACATTCTTGTTTTTGTTCTTTTCCTTTTTATAGAAGATATTTTTGTCGGTTATTTTACATATTTAGCATAACACTACATCTTGTTGACAATAATAAGGATCATGGTGAAAGGCCAACATAACTTCTTTTTAGGAGAAACGAGAGGCAAATATAGATAAGAACAGTTAATACCTCATATTTACATTTGTCGAAGAAATGATAAAGAAAAAAGAAAGAGAACATAATGTATACAAACGGATA